TGAAGAGAGCCAGTCACAAAGCAGCAAGGCCGGTCCCTTCAATGTCTGATCATTGCTGAACATTCTACCTCCTCTAGCGAATCAGCAAGATTCAAAGCAATCCAGTGAGAAGAAAAGGGACACAGCAGGACAGTAATGAGGCCAACAAGATGGATGAGAAAGAGACTCACAGACACCCCCAAGATAACAGAGCCTCCAGCAAAGTTGAAAAGCACATCAGCAATTATTATGTGGACATTAGCCTTCCTCCAGACACTCAAATACAGATCAGCTGTATCTGGTAATACCCTTCTTTGTTTTGTTTTTTTGAAACAAGAGTCTCACTCTGCCACCCAGGCTGGAGGGCAGGGGTGCAATCTCGGCTCACTGCAACCTCCACCTCCTGGGTTCAAGCTATTCTCATGCCTCAGCCTCTCAAGCAGCTGGGATTACAGGTGCCCTGCCACCACTACCGGCTAACTTTTGTAGTTTTTTATTGGAGATGGGGTTTCACCATGTTGACCAGGCTGGTCTTAAACTCCTAAATGCTGGGATGAGAGGCATGAGCCACCGCGCCCGGCCTGGAGACACCCCTCTTAAAGGATGTTTTCAGTAGTAGAGTGCAACTGATCCGCTGAGTTTCCTACTACCTGAAGATAAAACAATGGAAAGACAACTGGAACTGAAAAAAAACGATTAAAAAAACAACGGTAACTTTTTATATTCCAAGAGAAAGGATCCTTGCTTTTCAAAACTTCAGCCTCTCAAATACTTCTAAGTTGTTATAGGTCATTGACACCTAGGCAGATTACAACTAAACCACACAAGCTGTTCCAGAACCACGGCCAACAGAAAAACAACCTAAAGTTGAAGACTGTACACCTCCAACATTTCAAAGCCCAGTGTGCTTTCACACAGCTGACTACTGTCTACTGGGCTCACTCGAAACAGACCCCCCACTCACCATCCCTAGTCCACGGTTCAACAAGGAGGTTTTCAGGTCCAGACTTCTCTTCTTTGCCTTTGACATCACATGCCTGAAGAGTCAACTGGAGAGGTTTACCTGACCAAAGAAAAGAAAGAGCGAGCCTTAAGTGAACACGTGAAGAACTGAAAACTAGCAGGCCTATCTGTGGAAATAGTCCTGTGGCTACCAGGACTGCTAACTAAAAATCTCCCTGTGTAAAAGCTGAAACAGAGCGGTCACCTTAGACAAAGGCTGGCACCCTCCCTCTGTGCTTTCCTGAAAGAGACAAAGTACAGCTCATGTCCCTGAGTGATTCCAGAGACAGCGTTCTAAAACGGCCATTGTTCTGGAAAAGGACATCACAAGATACAGGTTGATAACACAGATTAAACACATTGGGGCAGGGGGTGATTCCTAAAATACTGTTTTGGAGTCAATAATTAACTTTATTGCAACTGCATTTAAATATATATATATTTAGATCTTGTTTATTTAAATAATCTCTTCAAGCAAAATTTCATTTTAAGAATGAGAAAAAACTTTTTCAGAACACTTGGCTTTGGCAAAAAAATACCTATATTTATATATATATATATAAATCATCTTTTGCTATGATGATCTGAAATGTTTTCCTTTTGTTTTAGTAATATAATGAATACCCGTTCACCTCTGATATGACCTAGAACTAGAACATGACCCCTAGGCATACCTTCCTATCCACTGCTCCTTGCCTGAATAACCATTCATCTGAATTCCATTCAGCTTCCAGACACTACCTGCTATACCTCCCATCCAGCCATGCCTACTCTGGACTGTTCACCAGCGTCAGCCCCCACTACCCAAAAAAAAGACCTTTCAAAATTTAGGGGAGAAACTAGATTTACAGGACATTAATTGTCTAACTTTAAAATTTCAAGAGGCAAAAGAAAAAAAAATTAAATAGGCTGGGCATTGTGGCTCATGCCTATAATCCCAGCATTTTGGGAGGCTGAGGTGGGAGAACTACTTGAGTCCAGGAGTTTGAGACCACCCTAGCCAACACATGGAGAGCTCATTTCCACAAAATTTTTTAAAAATTAGCTAGGCATGGTGGCACATGCCTATAGTCCCAGCTACTCAGGAGGCTGAGGCGAGAGGATCACTTGAACCTGGAAGGTGGAGGTTGCAGTGGGCTGAGATTATGCCACTGCACTCCAACCTGGGTGACAGAGTGGGACCCTGTCTCAAACAAACAAACAAAAATAAAAACATAAGTCATTAAGTCATTCATATTAAGACAATGGTACAAACATCATGGCAGAGGCCAGGTGTGGTGGCTCACACCCGTAGTCCCAGCATTTTAAGAGGCCAAGGTGGGAGGATTGCTTCAGCCTAGGAGTTCAAGACCAGCCTGGGCAACATAGTGAAACCCCATCTCTACAAAAGAATGTTAAAAATTAACCAGTTATGGTGGCATGCACCTGTAGTCCAAGTACTTGGGAGAGTGATGCAGGAGAATCGCTGGAACCTGGGAAGTCAAGGCTGCAGTGAGCCGTGATCATGCCACTGCACTCCGGTCTGTGCAACAGTGCAAGACTCTCAAAAAAAAAAAAAAAAAAAAAGGCAGAAATATCACAGTAATATTGTGCAAAGATGAGACCTAATACCATACATTGTGGAGTCCAAGAAGGTTGTGCTCGCAGGAGGAAGTGTTGTACTACTGTCCTCTGGGAGTAACTTTATGGGCTCCTGTGTTGAGAAGGATTACAAGGCCCCATTCTGGCTTAGTAGAAATGTGCTCATATGAATTACTGCTAGGCCCAGGAGGGGAAAGCAGTGGCAGACACGTGTGCAAATCCTTCAGAGCAGCTATGATGGGAATGCAGAGGGATGCATCTAAGACAAAGATCCCTTTGCACCATACCGTTGCCACTTCCTCCCTCTGACAGATAAGAACTACTCCCACCCTGCTGGCCTACATCATGAGATACTTTGGTACTTCACCAAAGATGGCTGTGTTCAAACGGCCACCAGATCTGAATAATTTTGCAAGCAGACGGTGGAGTACAGCCCTGTGGACACTCAAGCGCCCTCTTCTGGTGATACTGTCATAACATAAATGAACCAAAATCCCCCTTCTCCCTGCCAATCCTAGTAAGGTCCAATACTCAGAGGATACATTCATCCAGGAATCATGGTACAACTACAACAACCCAAAGAGATGAGAAGGTACCAGGAGGTCACATGGTGAAGAACAGCTTTACGGTGTGTCCACTGTTGGCACTTCTGTCACCCCCATGTTTTACCATATTTACCGTATTTGAGGAGCAGGTTCTGTCTGACTGACGCCATGGACAAGAGGAGGGATGAGGCATCGTACTGTGTGTCCAGATGGTCAGTGATGGTGCACAGAGAGCTCATCACTTTGGCAACACTTCCTCTTGCGAGCGCAAAAGCCAGAAGAGTCAGTTCTACCTCTGGGGTAGAACAGCAGCTGTAAAGAAAGAGCAACAACATTTCACTTAACATGAAAAAATCCAGGTCGCTCAAACCCCACGTAAAAAGTGATCACCACAAGTAACATTAACCTGCCATATGCCCTCTACAGGTTTATCAGAAATATTTTTCAAAATCCTTAAGATAACCTAAGGAAAGACTAAATCAATCCAGAGAACCAGGGAGTGAATGCCTTACTTCTATAACTTTGAATCTTTAAATATTACATAATACTAATAAGCCAAAATAAATGAGCTACTGTAATAAGCCTCTGCTGTTAAGAAGCCATGGGTAACGAGTTGGTTTAGCTAGAGAGCTGAGGGTTTATGCTTGAAGCACCAAAAATTTATTTTAGATCTACTCTGAATCACACTTACATGCCTTTCATTTCAACACATTACACTGAAACGTTAAAAATTGTCTAGATGGCTCAGGGACTGGTTTGTCATCTAATGCAGTAATGTCCTCAGGGCTCACTGAGGTAGAAGTGTCCCCACACAAACTGGTCCCTACTATCAAGCTATCCAGGCACCCTTTCCCAGTTCTATAGGTAACCAGGCTCCCTGGACCTGTGTGTGAAGGTCAGCAGGTTCTGAGTGAGGACCACAGGCTAGACACAGCAGTGAACTGGGAGACTATGCCACTTGGACTTTGAGACATCTGTCCTGTCAGAATCACAGGACTACTCCCCCTGGGCCCTGCAACACCGCCCCCGGCCCCAATTCTTCAGGTCAGGTCATGTTGCTAAATAACAGACTTTGGATGAGCGAACCATTATGTCACTTCCTCTTTAGCTGCTAAAAAGCAACCATTTTTAGTGGCAATCTTTAAAAGATTAACATATATACATGTATATTATGTATATATACACATATATACACATATATACATATATATGTATATATGTTAATCTTTTACATATATATATATTATATATATTTGTTGTTGTTGTTAGAAAAACTCAGCAAAATGAAATTCCTGTTTATTTTTGGACAATATTGTTTCACATACACATCAAACAGGCCAAAAAAAATAAATAGCAACTTCATAGACAAAAAAGGAAAAAAGGAAACCTTTTCATCTTTGGCCTTTTCAACCATCTCATCCAAACCAACTACAGTACAGCTAAGTACATACACAAAAAAGGTACTGGAATGCTCAGAATACGATTGTTTTTCTGTTGTCATTTTCGCTTTTCTTTACAAGGTTTTTTTCTCCTTTGGGGTTATAATGAAATGGTCATACCACAAGTAAAGTCAGAAGTAGGACACAGAACGCTCCGAAAGCTGGTTTGGTCATTTGAGATCATGAAAAATGGTTGACCCTAACAATATGTACAAAAATGTAAAATGTAAATAAAAAATACAAACAAATTTCCGTTTTCAAGTACTTTTAAGAAAAAAAGCAGGGCCTTGGAAGTTTTGGTGCTTTCTTCCTCCCCTGCTGCAAATTCTCACGGTTTGGGCTGGGTAGTGGAGAGCGCGGTGGGTCATCTGCGGGTGGCGCTGCCCGTGGTGGGCGGGCCTCTCTACTTGAAGGCAACCACGTTTAGATTCTGAGATGGGAAGTCGGGGTGAGGAGGTCACGGCAGCTTTTTTTTTTTTTTTTTTTAGTTTAAGTTTTCCTTTTTTGCTGTCTAGTCATCCTCGTCAGTCTTCTGCTTCTTGGTATCCACATAGTCATCCTCAGCATCTGCAGCTGCCCACTCGCCCGTAGCAGACTCAGCCTCCCATCTTCATCTCCATCCTCCTCCTCACCATCACTTTCTTCCTCCTCCTCTTCCTCCCCACCTTCTTCTTCATCTACCTCATTGTCAGCCTCCTGCTCCCCATTTTCCTCATTAGCATTCCCGTTAGCAGGGGCATCTCTTCCATTTTCCACCTCCTCCACAACTTCCTTCTTCTCCTTCAAGTCCTTGGTGGTGATTTTGGAGCTGATGTCTACGGCTGCGTCTGACATGGCGGGGCACGCCGGTGATCCAATGCAAGGGATTAAAAAGAAGGCGAGTCAGGGACTCTGGTGATAAAGCTGCCGGAGTCCGCAGCAGGGAAGGAGGCGCCTGGCTGAGGCGGCTGCAGTGAGCAAGGAGCCAGGCGAGGAACAATGCAAAGATGGCTTTTCAGAGCAGCCAGTCAACATTTTTTTTTTTTTTTTTTTTTGAGACGGAGTTTCTCTCTTGTTACCCAGGCTGGAGTGCAATGGTGCAATCTCGGCTCACCGCAACCTCCGCCTCCTGGGTTCAGGCAATTCTCCTGCCTCAGCCTCCTGAGTAGCTGGGATTACAGGCACGCGCCACCATGCCCAGCTAATGTTTTGTATTTTTAGTAGAGACGGGGTTTCACCATGTTGACCAGGATGGTCTCGATCTCTTGACCTCGTGATCCACCCGCCTCGGCCTCCCAAAGTGCTGGGATTACAGGCGTGAGCCACCGCGCCCGGCCAACATTATTTTTTAAAGACTTAACAAGCATATATGCCCTCCATTCCTCACAGAGTTTACCTTCATCAACCTTCATTTTACCTAGTAATCCTTATGAGGAAACTGTCCACTTCTTCCAGCACATTGGGTGACAGGAAAGTTGAGAAATCTGTAGATCCTGGTGAGAGAGAAAGTGGAGGCATGTGCTGCAGTGCCTTCCTAGAAGAGCAAAATGTAAAATCAGACAAAACCAGAATAATAGGCAGAAAATAAGCAGTGACAAGCTTGTTTTGACTAATCCCTCATAAACAGCCAGTGTTCCCAAAGAGGAGCTGGCACACAATATTAACTAGGCCTCCTTTTTTATTTGAGACGGCATCTTGCTCTTGTTGCCCAGGCTGAAGTGTAATGGTGCAACCTTGGCTCACTGCAACCTCCGCCTCCTGGGTTCAAGCAATTCTCCTGCCTCAGCCTCCCAAGTAGCTGGGATTACAGGTGCTCGTCACCATGCCCAGCTAATTATTTTGTATTTTTAGTAGAGATAGGGTTTCACTATCTCGGCCAGGCTGGTCTTAAACTCCTGACCTCATGATCCACCCGCCTCAGCCTCCCAAAGTGGTGGGATTACAGGCATGAGCCACTGCACCCAGCCTAAAGTAGCCCTTTTTACCCAGAGTCACGGTGCTAAGTAGTCTAATAGGGTTTTGTCTTTCTCTTTCTCTCTCTCTCTTTACCTATCTTTCTGTTTTTCTTTCTTTTTGGAAGTTCTGCTTCCCTCTGTTGAATAAAGCTCATTCGACTCTCTGGAATCCAGCTTTCACGTTAAGTATTGTTAAAAAAAACTGACCCAAGAGGCAGAGCAACTTGTGGATCAGTAGAAAATTTATTTTATAATTTGTTTAGCAGCAATAGGGTAAAAAAAGAAAAGAAAATTTTCTACCTGCAATCTTAAGACCTATGGGATCTACGGTATCTAAAGGTGATCATGAATTTTGTTTTCTCCTGAACAGATCAGCATGCCACCATCTCCACTCCTGCATGTTTCTTGGCCTTTCTGCCTTAACGTCTGTTTCAATGGTTTCTCTTTTCTTGTCTTTGCTTCACCGTTTATCTTTCTGAATCCCCCAATAGCTTTATCTCTGCTAGATTAGCAGTCATCAAAAATTTATGCAACACATGATTTCTGAGTCCTACGGTGTGCCAGCAACTGTGCTAGGTAAGTGAGTGTGCCATGAAAATTTCAAGGTATTCTGTGAATGTATCAAAATAACTCAAAATTCTACAACTGACAGTTGCTTCATGATAATGGTAATGAAAAATCCTGAAACAATTTCATTTCTACATTTTAAAATAGACACAATAGAGCAAAACTAACACAGTGTCAGCTCGCACTCTGCCCTAGTTTCTGTTCCTGTCTACACAATGAGTCATTTTTGGGTTGCACAAACGTGGCAGCTACATGTAGATGCAGCTGATCAGTGAGGTCTAATGCACACAAGTAGCATGCAATCATTTCCTGAATTTATTTCCCCTGACACAGGCAAACACTTCTGTCCCAAAATATTCTTTCCTTACCTATTTTTCCTCATTGATATTTTTTCCAATAAATCTTTAATTTTAAAATAGATTTAGATCACTGATCTTAAAAAGGCAGGAGTGCATGAAAATATCATTGCAGATAAACTAGTAAAACTGATCAGGGTCATAAACTTTAAAATATGTCCATTCTTCCAGCTGGGCGTGGTGGCTCACACCCATAATCTCAGCACTTTGGGGGGCTGAGGTAGGCAGATCACGAGGTCAGGAGTTTGAGACCAGCCCAGCCAACATGGTAAAACCCCATCTGTACTAAAAATACAAAAATTAGCCGGTGTGGTGGCGTGCACCTGTAGTCCCAGCTACTTGGGAGGCTGAGGCAGAGGAATCCCTTGAACCCGGGAGGCAGAGGTTGCAGTCAAGCAAGATCACTCCACTGCACTCCAGTCTGGGTGACAGAGTGAGACTCTTGTCTCAAAAAAAAAAAAAAGAAATGTCCATTCTTTAACCACTTGGCACATGTACCAAAAAATAATGCAGAAACCTCTTCCTTTTCCTGAAAATCCAGTCCATAAGATGGGGCTGTGCAACACGGGGATTTGTATGTGTTGGGGAGAAAGGGGAGGAGTCGTGGTGACCTACAGTGAGGTTTCAGAGGCTGAGCCGGGTAAGAAAGGTATCTTCACAAAGGTACAGCCTGGTATGCAATGCAGGCACCAAGTGGGGCAAGAAGGGTGGCCTTGCACAGGGTACAGTACTCAGGGAAGATAAGAAAGGCATCTGTGCAAGGGTGGCCACAGCAGCAGCCCTGCAAAAGATGCTGGAGCAGGAATGGGACAGGGAGGGTGTCCACGCAAGGGCAGGGGCAATGGGACACTGGTTGCATAGCGGTGGACTGCCTATGTACGGAAATATATCAAGTATGATGGGAAGCAAGTTTCTTAAAATCAGAGAAGGGACTCACAAATACACAAATAGGCTGAGCGCGGTGGCTCACGCCTATAATCCCAGCACTTTGGTTGGTCGAGGCAGGTGGGTCTCCACCTAAAGAGCCCCTGATTCAGAAAAATGGCTGATTCCAGGACTAATGCAGGGAACATTCAAGATAAGCCTGGAATATCCTGCGTCAGAACATATGGAAGTATTCCAAGAATGAGACATGTCAAAAGGACACACAAGCCAGACTGAAGGGTTTGCCACCAGCCAAGTCCAGGATAATATAAGCACCAAAACTGTGGCTGATTATAATCTACATATAAAATAGGAATCCACTAATACAAAGCTTTGATGAGGAATGAGATATTTACATAGTCTCAAAGTACCTCCTTCAATGCATTTATTAATTACGAAGTGAAAATAATTATTTTACAATGGAAAAGCCTGGCAAAAACCATGTTAATCAAGTGATCAAGGTTGACATGACTGCACTAGAATTCGGACTGTCTGAAGCTGTGTGCCACCCGATGGGATGCAATGAAAGCAAAGCATCACATCTAGGATATTCCTGCTAGAGATACATATGAAACCTAAATCTAATCACAATGAAACATCAAATAAACCAGAACTGAAGGACACTCTTCAAAATAACTGATTTGTCATTTTGAAAAGTATCAGGGTCATGAAAGTCAAGGAAATACTAAGGAATTGTTCCAGAATGAAGGACACTAAAGAGATATGACAGTGAAATGCAGAGTATTTCATCGGATCCTTTTGCTGTAAGGGGTGTGACTGGGGCAACCTGCAAAACTTAAAGGGAGTCTGAAGACGGTAGCAACCCACACCAAGGTTAATTTCCTGATTTCGATGGTTGTCAGTGAACGTTCTTGTTTATAGATAAAACACACTAAAGCATGCAGGGACACGGGGCGCAGGTTGGCAAATTACTCTCAAATGACTGAGGAAGAAATAAAAATTCTTCATTAAATGTATACGTGCAATGTTTCCCTAAGTATGAAATAATTTAGAGAAATTATCCATGTTAAAAGAGGAAGAAAGAATGAGGTATGGGCAACTATTACCCTTCAGAACTAGCATTGCAGCAATGTTATTTGCTAAACAGTTTTACTCAATAGTGCTAACAAATCTCAAAAGATGTCTAGAGAGCAAAACACTAGCGATCTCTTTTTGGCTGACACTCTCACAGCCTGCACTACAGGTGCCTATTATCAGTTACTGAATCTGCACAATACTAGTATTTCAGTGCTGCTGTACCTGGTTGTATTTGTCTTAGACGTTCGTACTTGGTCTTTTTGCCCTCATTTTTTTTTTTTTTTTGAGACAGAGTCTTCTTCTGTCACCCAGGCTGGAGTGCAATGGTGCGATCTCGGCTTACTGCAACCTCCACCTCTTGGCTTCAAGTGATTTTCATCATGCCTCAGTCTCTCAAGTAGCTGGGATTACAGATGCGCGCCACCATGTCCCGCTAATTTTTGTATTTTTTAACAGAGATGGGTTTTCACCATGTTGGCCAGGCTGGTCTTGAACTCCTAGCCTCAAGTGATCTGCCTGCCTCGGCTTCCCATAGTACTGAGATTACAGGTATGAGCCACCATGCCTGGCCTCTAGATCATTTTATAAGAGAAAAATTTCAAAAGGATTCTACATTTCAAAATAAATTATTTTAGTACCCCTGAAAAGATTTCACTCATTAGCTGAGAGAGCCCTCAACTTGGATATCCAAAGACAAAGATTCAAACTCATCCATTATTGCCTGGTCATGTGACTTTAGGAAAGGTCACAACATCTGCATCTATAAAAGGGTAATTTTCACAGGTACATTTCAGTGTCAGTAGGTAAAATAATAGACAGCATCTGAAAGCGTTTTATCCAACATCGAATCCTATATAAACATGAGCAATTATTTCCCAATGGACAAGGAAGAGGGACAGCATAAATGACCTTCTCACAAGACTGGTCCACTTAGACAGCTGAAGAAGAACACTATAGAACTGTATGAGGAGGAGCAGGAAGGTGGAAGGGACACTTTTTCAGTCTGTAAAGTGAGAATGTCAATCAAAGAGAGAAGCAGTGCAGAGCCGAGAGGCACGAACAGGAAACACTAGTGCACCTGCGGCCGAGCTGACTGAGCCACAATGGTCAATGATGGAAGGCTGCTCAGTGATAATCCCTACAGAATGAGGGGAGAATGACAGCATGCCATGTTGAAGGGCTGG